TCTTTTCCGTAGCGGAGGTCACAAAATGTTGACCAAGTTTGGGGTTAAACAAATTTTTTTTTTAAACTTTTATATATATAATTTTATTTTTTATTACATAGACAACATCACATATGGGTTAAACAAATATTTTTGATCGGTTGATTTGATATGAGTTTCTTGTAGACAAATTATATCATTCTTGAACTGTTTAAGATAGTGAAATATTTTCTTTCTCTTCTGTGGAGAGTTCAGTCCATTGACATTCCATGTCAAAATCTTAGTTGTCATCTTTGGTTGCCTGAAGCTTTGTTAGAGCCTCCTGCATGGCCTTTTAAACCTTTGGCCTAGCTCCTCCCATGGCTTCTGAGCTTGTTGCTGTGACTCCTTGATCAATGGCCAATGATTGTTGAGGTTGTTGCATTGTAGCTTGTTTTTCCATTCGTCTGGTAGTCATACGGCTAGGTCTTTGTTCCATGGCACCTTGCCCTTCTGGGAAGGGGAGATGGTGCGCCTTGTCTGGTAGTTGTGTAGTTTGCCGTCTATCTTGTCCTTCTTGTGGTCTTTCTCCAGATCTATATTCTTGTGGTCTTTCTCCAGATCTACTTCTATATTAATGACCCTGCCTTGCCTGCTTCCAGTTTGACTAGCAGCACCAGAAGGCATTCATTTTCCAAATTATATTCTTACTTCCAGTCAAAAACTGCTGAAGTCATAAGATATTATTGGTAGGAAAAACCCAGCCAATGGAAATGGAGAAACTGGAGTAGGAACACTGGAAGGTAGCTCTAATCATAGGAAAGGAGAGGGTATTTGAACCATACTGGCAAATGAATCTATTGCATGCTAAAACTGGGTAGATACAGATTTTTTATCATATGAGTGATACTTCATATTTTCTTAAATTTCAAATGAAGGTAAGATTATATTTTAAAAAATCTTAAATTATTTTGCCTAGGCATGCGGCTTAGAAAAAGTATCGCTTCCCATCTTCTTTTCCCAAAGGTGCTTTTTTTTCTTCCCAAGAGGCAATTTTCTGGATTTTCTTTGAAGTAGCTTTTTCAGCTGAACAAGCTTCTTGCATGAGAAGCAAAATGTCTTCAAAGAAAAATCAGAAAGTCCAGTTGCCTCTTGAAAAAAGCACTTTGGGACAACCATGACCTAATTGAGAATCTTCATAGACATTCCCATCCTCTTTTTCATTAGTGAAAGTGGTGCTTTATCCAGGTTAACATGAAAAATGTGGTTTTGTTCTGTTGTGCTGACAAATCATGTGTTGCTTTTACTAGAGGATAACTAATATTTTATCCTCCCCCTCCCCAACCTCTCAAAGTGCTAGGGTGAGTGGAAGGCTGAGATGCAGAGAAAAATATAGATAAGATTTTTATTCATGGGATATAAGTGAAAATAAGAATACGTGTGAATGTAAAAATAGATTGTCCATCTAATATCAGTACCATTTGCACTAAATTACAGTGAAAAGAATTTTTCTCAGACTGAGAAATTTAACAGTTGGCCATCTTGTTCCATCACATATATTATATTAGAGCAACAGCCAAATGAATGAAATTGAAGTATGGATATCTGGAAGCCTCCAATATGAATATGCTCTGGATCAATATTCTGTGACCAAAATCTTCATAGTTATTCCACCTTTCAAAATAAAGTTTTACAACATACAGTAATGTGTGAATGGACAGTAAGATTGTTCAACAAATCATACAAATGAACCATGAGTTAGCATTATATTTAAACTCAGTCGTAGCTTGAATGAACATTTATTGAATTTTTTTAGAATTATGTGAAGTGATTGAATTTGTTAATAAAGAAAAGGAAAGACATTTTTAACCAGCACCATGAACATACTTTGTAGTTTTATTTTGTTTGGTAGTATTTCTTTCCTGAAACACTTGATGCTCCACAATTTATCAGGTTGGAAATGTAGTGTTTATAGACAGATTTAGCAACTCATTAGTTATCAAATCTGGCTCCAGTTCAAATATTTTTTACTCACTTTGTTTCAATTAACTGTTTTTAGAAATTACATTTTGGAAACATTGGAGCATAACAAAAGTAAGATCATAAATATTTGTGTTGAATATTTGACATCTTTTTGCTGTTATTAATGACAAAAATTTGGATTAATTAATCTGAGATGATGATGATTAGGTTTATGGTACTTGTTTATAATTGTATGTGCCCCATATATTGTGGCAATAAAAATATGTCTGTTGATAATATCTGGCAACAAATGTTTGTCACGACGTGTATTAATTTTATTTATCCTTTGTAGGTTTATTGTTGTCAGATAGAATAATATTTAATGAAAACATATTTGTAATATTTTTCCTTTTCCTTTACAGGTGTAGAGATGCAGGAAGGCGTCCGTTTTGCTTCTTCAGGAGATGACGATGTTAAAATATGGGATTCATCTTCTATAACTATTGTGGACCAGTTTACTCCACATGCATCTTCTCACCCAGTTAATTCAGTATGCTGGGGTAGCAACAGTATCCTTTATTGTTTCAATATCTGAAACTGTATTTCTGTATAGGATGTTTGTTAATAGCAATTGTCCTAATTGCCTATTTATGACACCTCAGGTACGGACATTCAAAATTCTTTCTACAGGGAATTCCATATCGCAGATGTTGCCATTGGCAAAAGAAAAAAGAATTTATATTAAGGTGAATTTTCTCTCTTTTAAACAAAAATACAGGCAGTCCTTGAGTAATAACAAAACGGTTTGAAGTTATGGCAGGACTAAACAAATGGTATTTATACCTCATTCTTGAGGTTACCCTTGTTTCAGTGTATGATCAAAATTTAGGCACTTAGCACTTATGACCACAAGAGTGCTTCAATTCCCCCTCCTCCTTATTATCCCCTCATTTCTGCCCTTTTGGTTCCCTGCACTGTTCTATCTGGTTGCTTCATGTTCCTCCACCTCACCCCACCTTCACCATCCTCTTGTTCTCACTGCTGACCAAGCCCACCTGGCCTGGCCCTTCTCGAGGCAACTGCTAGACGCACAAGGCTTTCTTCCCAAACACTGATCTGAGTTGTAGTTCAAAGGCTTCCTGCAGCCCCAAAAGCCACGGTGCACCAAGAAGCCCCTGAGCCACAAGACAGCAAGTAATCCAAAGCGTCATAGTTCTGGAGCTGCTTGCTGTCTCACAAAGCACAGTGCAGGTTCGACAAAAGGACAGAAATGGGTGGGGGGAAATTGAAGGAGAAGCAGTCCCTTATTTGGAAAAACTGAGGCTTGTACTGGGTGGAAATAGCTTGGCCGGGGGTAAGTCCTCAACTAACCAATGGAGTTTGTATAACAGTGGAGAAGGGGAGTGCTGGGATTACTGTCACTAAGGAGTGCAGTTACCTGACAATAAGCTTTATGTCTACCTCAACAGAAATTCCAGTCCCAATTGTAGTCATAACTTGAGGATTACCTGTATATTCATTTAACTTCTGTTCAGTGCTCTGAAGAAGCCACATACTGTATGTTAGAATATGTCCTTAAAACATTTTCATGTTATTTTCCATGCTTTTGTTGTCTTGCAAAACTACCTTAGATTATGAAGGAAATAGAGTAGTGGCTTTAACAACAAGAACAACAAGAACAAACTCCTCTAAGTGCTTTGCACTTGTGCTTCAAAACAAAATATATAAATGATATATGAATGGATAAATGAATAAATAAAAGGTTAATTCAACTGTCATTTTAGCTCTTCATGTACATTTCTAATTTGAGTAATTCATTTAGGTGAAATGTTACTTATCAGGTTTATTCAACCATTTTTCATAGAGTCATTTTGTTGTGTTATAGCAATATCAAAGAATGACGTGGATGGCCTGTTCAGCATAGAATTGACCTGTCGGTATAAAGTCTGGCTTTCCCTCTCTTTCAACTTGTTCTTTCTTTGAATGAGAAGAATATTCCATGATATTGAAAGTAATTTTTTTTTTTACAGTATCATTTTTATTATTTGGTTTGGATAAAATTTATGTAGTAACAGTTTTCATGCTAGCAGAAGGTTCATTTATAAAATTATGATAGTGAGTCCTATCCTTTTTTTGACACATTACCTAATAACTTAGAATTGCTTTCCCAATTTCTGTATTTTATTTGCTCAACATAAACCACTTGGAAATAATCTGCCTCCCTAATTGCCAGACATTTTCTGGTCACTTTTGTATATCTGAAATGCTAAATGGTTGTTGTAAACTAATGGAGAACAAGAATATTGCACATCGAACATGACTTGATTGTATGCAGAATTAGAGATGGCTAAACCTACTAAAATTAGTACCATTCTAAATGAATCGTATCTGGGAATAAATACGTTGCAGAAGAACAACCTACTTGTGTCTTGGTATCATGGGTTGCCATGGGTTTCTTCCTTGTTCAATGTTACGACATACGAGCTAGGTGGTATACTGATCACCTGCTTGTCTGAAAAATTAAAAACAATAAAACTGAAAAGGTAAAGGTCTTAAAAGGCATTTAATTTCAATCTTGACCTCCTGAAAAATGTTCAATGAAAAAATGGAGAAAAAGTCAAACCTCACGCTGAGCTTCCAATGCAATAACCAGATAGGTAAGCTGTAATAGAAATAACTATATGCCTATATCAGTTAAATGCTTCAAAGCTGAAGTTCTAAGTCCTTTGTGGTATGGCGCACAAAGCTTTGTGCATAAGGAGATCCCTGAGCTAGAAATAGCAAACTAATTGTTGCATTTGTGCTTGGTGTTCTTGGCTCATTCACCAATAAACTTCATAGCTAAAATGTGGATGTCTCTTTTGAGTTTCTGCTATTAAAGTACTGGCTCAAAAAATATTTAGGGAGCAAGTTTTTAGCCCAGCTTTTTTTCCATTATAAATATCTGAAAATGCAAGCAAGAAAAAAAGAGAATGATATTTAAAAGCTGTATAAAAGCTAAGAATTTTTGAGATAGTATTAGATTAATGCCACAAATAAAAGTGATTTATATCAATTTGACATGTTGAAACCATTATTAAAATCAAAACAGTACTCAGTAATTAGCAGAGGCAACTAATCTAATAAGAATCATCAATCACAATAAACACTTGGAGTTTCTATCTAATCTGAAAAAAATATTATAACGAAGCAGGCAAAATCTAATATTTTAAAAACTCTTATGTTTGGATAAACCCAAGCTTCAGATCTAATGTCATGTGCAGAATTATAACCCATAAATGGTTTTTTTGGATAAATAAGCATAAGACTTTTTAAAATATAAAGTTGTCTTTCACACTGAAGCATATTGCCTTAGCTGCAAGGACTTTATTATGTACCATTTCCAATAAGAAAAATAAAGTATCCTAACATCTTTATCATACACAGAGCCAATTCAACATACTTGGTATGTTAGTAATATTTTTAAAAAAGGGCTGTTTAAAAAGTTGTTTTTTTTTTTTTTTTACAATGGAACATCTTTTAGAATTGTTGAAGTTTGTGATATTGCCTCCAAATACAAAAAACAAAGCAAAACACTAGTGATCCAACTATTTCCTACAATTTGTATATGAACTATCTATTTTGGCAGTCAATATTGGCTTAACCTATCCATAAAAAACATCAATCATGTACAATTTTCTTTGGGTATTTGCAGTAAATTTGATAATTACCTTCCATAGATATTCCCATGTTGTCTTTTTAAAAATTGACATCCATTTAATCATACCATATTTGTCTTGTTCTATTCCTGAATCTTATTTTACGAACAGGTTATAATTACCCCCCTCCCCCCACAAAATAGAATATTTTTATAACCTTTTCATAATTTCTGGTCATTGTCAAATCAAATCATGTTTATTACAGTCTACAACCAGAGGTCAGAACAAATAAAAACACTCAAGGAATATTCAGTTAAAAATTCTAGAATAAAATGATTAACAATAAAATCTATATTAAAATCACAATTTGGTATCCAATCTGTCAGTTACTAACTATATTATACTATCAATCCTTAAACTGTGAAGCCTATAATCATTAAATTCTAAAATGCAAAAGAGTAGTAATACAGAAGGGTTTGCTACATTAGTTTTGTAAAATAGCTATGATGTATTAATCATGTGTTTCTGATGAATCCCCAGTGCTGCTCCACAGAATCGAGCCACTTGCGCTGTTATAACTGTAGTTTATTTGTCCTTAAGCAGCTATTGGAGATAAGTAGTGTTGGAACAGCCAGGATACCTATTTATTATTGGGATTGTTGGTCATTGCCAAAATAAATTATATCTTTTTAAAAGAAACACTTGAAAATGTACTGTTCTCTCGATTGGAAATGCATGTGATTAAATGCCTACTTAAAAGAGATTTTCTTCCCAACTAAAACAACTTTGCCTAAACAAAAGCACATGTTGTGTTCCATGACTCTTATTTCAGATAACTTTTTGGTAACAACGTCAGCTGTTGGTGATAAGATAGTGATTTCAAATTGTAAAGGAAAACCAGTTCCACTCTTTGAACTAGCTGAAGGGGTAAGTTGAACAGTTTTAAAAGGTGGTCTTTTAGTGCATTGCTATTTATTGCCCTTGTTACCTCGAGGCTGGATTATTGTAACGTGCTCTACATGGGGCTACCCTTGAAAAGCGTTCGGAGACTGAAGTTAGTTCAGAATGCGGCTGTGCGGGTGATATTGGGTGTGCCGAGGTACACCCACGTTACATCTATCCTCTGTGAGCTGCACTGGCTACCAATTGGTCTCCGGACTCAATTCAAGGTGTTGGTTATTACCTTTAAAGCCCTACATGGCTTAGGGCCAGGATACCTTCGAGACCGCCTGTTGACACATACCTCCCAGCGGCCAATAAGATCCCACAGATTGGGCCTCCTTCAGATGCCGTTGGCCAAACAATGTCGGCTGGCGGGCCCTCGGAGGAGAGCCTTCTCTGTGGCTGCTCCAACTCTTTGGAACCAGCTCCCCCTGGAAATCCGGACCATACCCACTCTCATGGTCTTCAGGAAAACCGTAAAAACTTGGTTGTTCCGGCAGGCCTGGGGCTGTTGACCTCACTGTTGAGGTCCGGCCCCGACTAGAATGAATGTATGAGGAGTGTCTGTTGTTTTTAAATTGTTTTGTCATTATGTCTTTTTTTATATTTCTTGTAAGCCACCCAGAGTCCTTTGGGATTGGGCGGCATATAAAAACTCCAAATAAATAAATAAATAAATAAATTTATGTGTGCTCAAGTTCCCAAATTCCCAGTAAGTGTTCATAATATTCCTGATAATTTTTGCATTGCTAACCTGCAAGTAAACCTCTAAATTTAGTTGATAAGATTTACAAATAAATTTTACTTAATATCTGTCCTGTGGTTCCAAAATGCATACTGTAATGCTTATTTAGATATTTATATAAATTCATAGTCATGTGTTGGATTTGTTTCCAGAAAGATGCTTCAGAGTGTGCAGGTTTATGAATGTATTATCTGATTACAATTCTTTACAGTAACACCTCCCTTCCAAATCATATAGCAATAATATAAAGTAGTTGTAGGGGCCTGAAAAAATATGATTACCCTAAAGGGTGCATATACATTAAGTACCACTGTTGCACTTCCAGGCACTTTTTTGTGAATAGAATTCAAAGACATAAATAAAATCTACCAAAATAAAAAGTAATGGAAAAAAAGCACAGAATGTTCCAAATGAAGAACATTGTCTCTACTTGAAGAATGTAAGAATATAATAGCAGCAGAGTTAATTCACAGGGATTGGTCTAGAACAAAATCTGGTACTCTAAAATCCAAATCAAAGAAATATTGTAAACAATGCAGGAAGCAATTGTTGCTGTTCCTTAATATAGTATTCATTACTCAATGAGCACTAATAGAGATTAGAAAGCTCTTCTTCAATTTTAGATTAATTCCAATTTAAAATATTGTCCACCTGGACAATAATTTGCTCTCAGCTATTAATGGCTGAAATAAGTCTACTTTCTAATCTGTTCTAAACCGTTTTAAAACAAGTCATATATAAGATTTATGATCACTTTTATTATTGGACATCAGACAAAGTTGCAATCCATCTAAAAGCAATGTTTTCTTGATTCTTTGCAGTTTTGGAACTTCAAACTTACTGCTGTTTCTTACAGTCATAATCATAATTATAATAAATTATAACAAAATGTGTAATCATAATTTCCATTCTCTATATCTGTGTTTATTGGCTATTATTACCTGTGGCATTAAAATAATCCTGAAATACATTAATAATGCTGCTTTCAAAAATTAAGCTGTTACTACTGGTAACTATGAAATTTTCTTCTCTCTGTTCTTCTTAAGATCGTTCTGATACTATCCAGAACCAATACAGTTTTCAGAGTGAATGTTCTTTTGCCAGTGGTATTCCCAAAGCAATGCCTTTTATGTTACCTCTGCTGGCTTAAGTTCTATAGAAAGCCATCCAGGCTCTTTTGAATTAAGCTCAGCTCCTGGTGATGTGAAACTTGCTTCTCATTGAAAAAAATATTCTGGAGGAAAAGAACTTTCTAGTCTACAACATTAAGATTTTCTGATTGCCTCTTATCTAAGCACCAACCACATCTGACCCAGCATAGCTTTTTTGCAATTGGCTAACACTGGCTTGATGTTGCCGTATTATGACTCTACTCACCTATTTACAGATGTTAATGATTTGAAAATTATTTGTTTTCAGCCTCATATACAATTATGTGGTGTCTGTTTTTATAAAGGCAGAACTGTTTCATTTGTCAAAGGAAATGTATAATTTGCTTCAAACTTCTTTGCAATGTGAAGGCTGCAGAGAAAAGCAATGAAAGGGAATGGATGATTATTCAACAATACAAATTGAACTGTTCCTGGACCACTCAATATACATTTTAGGAGACACACTGTTATTTATTAGTTCTATGATTTTTATTTCAGACATCCATTTTCATTTCTTTAATTAAAATGTTTTGATCCTTCTTTTCTATTTAAAAAGCACACAGAACAATTATTACTGATCAATCACAATACTACATTACTGAAAGAGCAGATAATTACTATAATTTGTCTTTAATCTTTCTGCTGCTAAAAGTAATAAAATGGTTAAGGTATTGGACTAAGTTCAACTTCAATCATGGAATCCTGCTGAATAGATTAGGATCAGTTGCTTTTTGTCAGGCACATTACCCCACAGGATTGTTGTGAGGGGAAAATAGAAGGTAAAAATACAGTGTATCATTCCATAAGTTCATTGAGGAAAAGCTGGATATAAAATCTAATTAACAAAACTGATTAGTTGATATTAAAGGAAAAACGTCAAAATGGGCTTTCATTGGCCCCTGCTAACTTTAATTTTGGGGTATGGTGTTGGTAAATTAAATTCGAACTATTGAATAATCCATCACAATGATGTCATTTTATTTTGTCTGTCATATTTGCTGAACACTGGTTTCTTCATTTCATTAAATTACAAAATGCCATTTATTTTAATCATATCTATATTAGTGACTCAGATTGTATTAACTTTTTATTCTAGTTTAAAATTGATGTTGATATTATCTAATGTGGTTTTTTTACATTTATTGCCAACTAGGCAAAGCAAACATGTATAAGCTTGAGTTCGAATTCAATGTATATTGCAAGTGGAGGAATTGATAGCACTGTTAATATCTGGGATTTAAAATATAGAAAACTTCACCGATCTCTTAAGGTAAGATACAATATTGTTTTACGGACTTTTTTGTCAATTAATATATATGAGATTAATATCACCTGTAAATCTTTAGGGTTATACTCCAATCTTTAAATATCAAAATGTAACTCATATTTTACATCACAAATGGTTTTGGTCTAGCAGAATGATACCTATTTAGAAGTGGTGCTAGATATTACAATGGGTAATTGTACCCATTGTACCCATTACAATTACCATATTTTTCAGAATATAAGACACACCTTTTTCCCTCCAAAAAGAGGCTGAAAACCTGGGTGCGTCTTATACACTGAATACAGCCATTTTTGCCTTCCTGAAAGCCCGTCATGCTTATCCCGTTTTTTTGCAAAAATGGACATGCAAAGGAAGGGTTTGGGAGGCCTGTAGAATGCTCCTGGGGGTTGAGGAGGGCAAAAACAAATGAAAATGGGTCCATTTTTCAAAGGAACGGGGATGTTTTTGCCCTCCTCAGCCCCCAGGAGCACTCTACAGTATGCCCCATTTTTTACTCATTTTTACCCTCCCTGGCCCCCAGGAGCACTCTACAGGCCTCCCAAACCCACTGCATGTCCCAGGTTTTGTGAAAAATGGGCTTGTTTTCATGAAAAATAGTTCCGGTTTTCATCTCCCAAACCTGCCATGCGTCGTGTTTTTGCCCTCCCCAGCCCCAAGGAGCACTTTGCACTTTTCACAAAAAATAGGGGGTGCAGAAGGTTTGGGAGGCCTGCAGAGTACTCCTGGGAGCCGGGGAGGGAACCTTCCCCCCCTTTTAAAATTTACCTCTTCAAAATCTTGGTGCATCTTATGCTTCTGCGTCTTATAGTCTGAAAAATATGATAAGTAGTATGTAGTTATTGCAGAGATGGAAAAGTTGTCTATGTTCTTAAATCTAAATCTGATGCTTTTAATTAACCTTGATGCTCTTATTTAAACTGAATAAATCTCTCACATCATAGTGTGAGATAAATACTTGTTCTGACCCCCTCCTCCGTCCAGTAACGAATGCCGAGACAAGCTTAACTGGAATGTACTTTAATTAGCAAAACACCAAAACCTCGGTGGTTGAAAGCCAAGCATAACAAACAGATAAGGACCTTGGCAGCAACTCAGACAAACTCAGGCAGCAATAAACACAGATAAGGCTTGGCAGCAATCCAGCCTGCCAAGCTCACAGTACTGTCCTCCGACATTCAATCCTGCGTTGACTTCTGCAAAGAAGTCTACTATTGTAGTGATGTGCTGTAGTATAGTGTGTTGTATAGTGTATACAGCACTACATGTGCTGTAGTATAGTGTAGCAAAGTATGTTGCTTAAGATGTTGGACTCGGACCAGGGTGGGAGTGGGGAATCCATATTCAAGTTGATCCTCAGGCATAGAGTTTCATCAGATGACTTGGGCCAGTTGGCCTCTCTCACAATGTTGCCTACTCCTCACAGTTATTATGCAGATAGATGAAAGGAGGGAGTGCTATTTACATTGCCTCAATGAAAGGTTTTATATCTAGCAAATAAATAAAAAGGGTTCCTCAGATATACAGGTAGTCCTCAACTTATTTTATTTAGTGACTGTTCGAAGTTCCAACGGCACAGGAAAAAGTGACTTATGACCATTTTTCACACTTATGACTCTTGCAGCATCCCCATGATCACGTGATTTACATTCAGATGCTTGACAACTGACATTTATGACCCATTGTCCCAGGGTCATTTTATCACCTTTTTGTGACCTTTTGACAAGCAAAATTAATGGGGAAACCAGATTCACTTAACAAATGTGGCAAGAAAACAAAATGGGGCAAAACTCACCACAATTCTCATTTAACAACATACATTTTGGGTTCAGTTGTGATTGTAAGTTGAGGACTATCTGTATTGGTACACAAGAGTATAAGTTATTTCATTATTATGTATATTTATAAAGTGTTCTAAGTGATTTAATTAAAATATAAGATGGGCTTGAAAAACAGTTAATAAAAAAAAGCAAAGTATAGTTACAATAGTTTAACTACAGTCTTTTGGATTTTGGGGCAGTTAATTGTCCAAATCTGTTATTAATCTCTGTGTAGGTATTTTTCTTTGATTATGGAATTTAGTTGCTGTGCTGATTTCTATAATTGCAAAATGTTAATGAATTTCCCCTTAAATAACAGTTTGTCTGGGAACATAATACTTTGACATTTATGTCTATGCAAATTTAGGATTATGGGGTTAGATACTGACTGACTGACAATTGTTAGATAAATATCATTAATAACACTATGGAAGAAAAGCAGTTTTTGTTAAAATACAATATTTTTGCAAAATGTTGGGAAATGTTTTATCTAAACTCTGGGAATGGCAGTTTTGAATACGTGTGGATATTCCTTTATTGATGGATAATTTCAGTTCTATTACAAAATATTGTTACGTTTTGGAGCCTGAAGATTTTGGTCTGAAGTAATACAGGTCCCACTTTACTGCAGCTTGACCTTTGATATTTTTGGAGGAACTGCCAATGGATAAGGCTCTGGGGATCTTAGTGTAGGCCCTGTCTGTTTGATGTGAGGGAGCCTTTAGTAATTTGAGGGTGAAGGTCATCTCTATCTAGAAAAGTGTAGTTTACCAGAGCTAGATATTGCTTTTAATATCTTTGATAAAGCTTAAGTCCCATCACTATAGTTTGGATAGATGGTTATTAGATAGGTCATTCTGTGATAAAGGTGAATAGTAAATATATAACAAGAGTTCAGGAACAATCTTACGTATCACACGCTTCAGAGGCAAATTTTCATTCCTCTTACTCTTCTCTTTTGTTGACTGGTGTTGGTTAAATTTGATTTATCTTTAGGGTTTTGTGTTAATGTATGATGCTTTTATTTTGCCTTATTTTTTAACCACCTTAGTTATTTATCTTGCAGATTAGTGTCAATTAAAAAGTGCTATTATTATCAACAGCACATGGTTGCTTTAGCAGAGTTGGGCAGGCATTAAACATTTTCTCTGTTCCCCCAAAATATTCTAGCATAACTTGTTGGTTATGGATGCATATTGGTCCGTACTGTACTGCACTGTTTAAGGATTATTCTGTATCAGAATGCAAACTATTCCAGGTATTTATCAGACATTTGATACACCGTTTTACAATTCAAAAAGTTTCCCTTGAGATATTACAATTAAACCAAAACCAATATAAAATAGCTATATTTTAATAGGCAGTGGAAACAAATATTTCAAATCAAATTAAAATATCAGTAAGGAGAGAAAGTGTGACAAGTTGATGTGCTCTCTAAAGGCAGGGTTATTCAACTGTTTGCCACAGTAGAGAAGAGTCATATTATCTCAACTGATGATAATGGGAAGTTTTTCTTTATCTTTATATGTCATTCCTGTCCTTCTCCAAAGATATAAATTCTTCAAAATCATTAGGGTGTGGCATATGGAGTTACTGAGAAGAGAGAGTTATTAGAAAGTGTCATGTACTTCCAATAACAGTTTCTGTTAGAATGAAGAAGGATCAGTGGCAGGTTAATAATTAAATATAATTTACTTGCTACATTTTGTATGGTTGTATGTTTTCAATCCTGTGAAGTGAATATACATGTGAGGATATATAATTAGATACAGAATGGAAAAAACTTTATATGAAAGATGATCTGGAAGTTTGAATGCAAGTGCTGGGTCCTTCCCTAAGTAGAGAGAAAGTTTCCGTCTCTGTTTTCCTGCGGAGATCATAGTAAAAAGAATGATTGAAATTGTTCCTCTTTAGGGTCTGTTTGTACGTGATTTTCATCTTTCTTAGTGAAAGATAGGGAAAATCCTGGAAAGATCCAGGGTACTCTGATTAGAGGAGGAGAGGTCTTATATGAACAATTGGGAGACCTGATAGGAAATTTCCTCTGAATTATAGCTTTGGGAAAATTCTTTATCCCAGCTCAGAAAGCATTGGACAAGTCTTATTCCTGCAGAGATTCATTTTTTGAAGAAAGGAAAAGTTAGACATTTGAACAGGAATTTGCTATCTAATCATGTCTGAGAGAAACTACTTACAAATATATTGGTTGAAAATGCAAGCTACAATAGAGAGTGGTAACCATTCCAGGGAAGTGGAGTAGGCAACCTTTTAGACACTGAAGACTGCACTTAATATTTTTTGGGGAGTCCACAAGTGCCAAAGAATGGAAGACTAGGAAGATAAGGCTACATTAGGAAGATAAGGCTACCTTTTGATTGTTGTTTTTTATTTAAAAAAAAACACTTTTAACTTATTGTAGAATTTGCACACCTGTTTAATGTATTTCCTTCAGAATCATGAGACATTGTGTCACTGATTTTCACCAGTAGTGTACACAGAAAGATCACAAAGAAGTATTTGTAATCTCAACATTTCCTTGGAGCACTTGAGTGTTGTACTAAATTAAAGCTTGCATATTTTCTTCTTCAGGATCATAGAGAGGAAATAACTTGTGTGTCATTCAATTGGAATGATTGCTATGTTGCTTCAGGATCCTTGAGTGGTGAAATTATCCTGCATAGTATTGCTACAAATTTATCCAGCACTCCATTTGGTCATGGAAGCACGCAGGTATGTATGTATCAATGACACAGCAATCTGTTCCTAGTGGCAAGTATGGATTCTATTGTAATTTTACAGAAAGTATACAACTTGAGCATTTATACACAGATTTCAAAAGCTGGGAATTATTTTCTGAAAATGATGCTATCATATTCTAATTTGTGACAAAAAGGGATAATGACTAAGTACATAAATGGAAAGTTGGTTGGTTCTATTTAATTTTAATTGAATAAAACTTACAGGGGAATATGTATGAAAATGTGGGGTCCTTTTGATACATTAGCAGAAAAGCAGGTGCTCAGATGCTAATGGTATAGCCTAGTTTTAGGTATATTATTTCATCTTTTTTACAAGCAATTCTTATTTTGTTTTTAGTAACCTGAACAAACTAAATATTACATGGGACAACTTTGCAAAAGATATGATAGTGGCATTGTGTCCATTAAAAGCAAAAGCCCAGTTGAAGAAACTTTGATGTTTTTTATTGATTGTTATCATCCATCAGTTATATCAATGCAAACTTTTTAATAGTCAGTTTACTCTTTTTAAAAAAGCCACCACATAGCAGAGCTAATAAAGTTGTCATTGCTTGCTTTATGTGTGGCTTATTTGGGAAACTGTGTCTGACAGTTATTGATAGACAATGTGATTTTGTTTAAAGACCAAAGCAATGAAAGTAGGAATGAAAGATTGGATCTTTAGTGACAAGGTGCTGAAAGACATATAGCTGGATTATATTAATTGGACTTTTCTATGTGCACTTTAAATTCCTGGCTGTGGTTTGTTTTGCCATTTATAACTTTTCATTATAGTCAGCTGAAGAAAGGTTCAACTGCTATTAAATCTCGATCCATCTTAATGTAAAATATAGGAATTTATGTCTCGGATAAAAATTCTAAAAGTGAAATTAGGATTATTTATTATGATATTGTAAATGAAATTTAAATAGTTATTATACAAAATATATGATGCTAATGAAATTATTCATTGTTTTTAATGCAATTTATGAGTAGAAACATTAAATGTTTCAGATTTTCTGCTTGTTAACTTGAAAGGGAATGAAATATTTATTTTAAGTATAATATGGAACATAAGAAAGTGGAAAAGAAAAATTTTATATAATAGGACATGAGAACATGGTAACAAAATATTTCAGGTTTTCTCCTTCCTCATGACGTTTACACATGATTTCTAAAGTTTTGAAGAAGTAAACTAATTTGTAACCTAACCTGTGTGTGTGTGTGTGTGTGTGTGTTGACACCACCATTTTCCAACAGTAAATGATTTTACTCTGACACTTTTGATTTTCTATTTCAAAACACCTGCATGTGCATTTTAACCTGTGAAAAATGTGTATGTCGGTGTATGTAGAGCCAGTTTGGAACAGGGGTTAAAATGCAAATGATTGAATTCTGGTCATGTCTTAGACATGGAAGCTTGGTTGGATGGCTTTGATCTTTTTCATTCCAATCCACCTCACAGGGTGGTTATTGCAAGAAAAATAGGTGCTAGGGTAAGGTAGAGGTAAACGTTTTCCTGCACATGCGTGCTAGTTGTTTGTGGCTCTAGGAGCAGTGCTCATCTCCATATCAAAGCCAAAGAGCCAGAACTGTCCAAAGACATCTCCGTGGTCATGTTGCTGGCATGACTAAACGCTGAAGGCGCACGTAGCGCTATTACTTTCCCCCCTCAAAGGTAGTTCCTATTTTTCTACTTGTATTTTTACATGCTTTTGAACTGCTAGGTTGGCAAAAGCTGGGACAAGTAACGGGAGCTCACTCTGTTAAGCGGTGCTAGGGACCGAACTGCCAACCTTCTGATCAACAAGCTCAGTGTCTTAGCCACTGAGCCACCGCTTCCCTTAGGTGTTAGGATATATCATTGTAAATTATGTAAATAAAGGTGGGATATAAATATAACACAATAATAAAAAAATATTCCTCGCCTCTAATTATGAAGAGGTGGTCAACAGACTTCGTGGAGGTAGAGAGAATCTAGTAGGCCCCACTCCCCCATAGATTCCTCTAGCATTTTTGAACACTATTTTTAAATGTGTGTTCAAAGCATACTGAATGTCTAATATATGAAGGTTTGTGAAAGTAATCTTATTGGAAGTATGTAACAAATAATGCATTCAGTTTAAAAAAAGGGATTATCCTATCAATTTTAGCTTCATAATATCTTGCTGAATCACAGCCTCGGTCTTGGAAAAAATTAGCAATAAAGAGGAGACACTAAGCTTGGCATTCTTGTCAGGATTCAAAAGTTTCCATTGTTATTGCAGAATTGCCTACCTTGGAAAAGTTGTTAAATTTTAATTGCATGTCACTCCAGTGAAACTTATATGGCAGACTTGCTGACTAAACATTTGAAAGGGCTGCTCTTGTAATAAAGATGTGGTATCAATGCTGACGTTCAGTTAAAGGTTTTTCAGGGACCACTTTTCTGTTTCTCACTACTGGATATTATGTCAGTTTCAATCTCTTATCTGAGTGCTATATGCTATGCTATGACCACAGAGTTGAGCCACAACAGGAAATATACTTTTTAGTGAAAAACCATGCCAGTGTCCCACTGTTTTCACTCCTTTCAACCTGTAAGAATATTGGAAATAATGTAAAAGAGCTCAGAGCTCTGTTCCTCTGCAAGAGAACTAGGACCTAATTTATGTGTACATATTTTAAAAATGACTTATTCTGGTTTGGGTCTGAAGAGGCAAAAAAATAAAATCTCCAGTGCATCCCTAACAGAATTGGGCAGCAGCACCAGAATGCTGTTGGCTCCTTTAATTCTACACCTCTGCATTCTTTTGGGTGGCATTGCCCAGTTCTCTATCATAGGATTGTTGTTGAGAAGGAAAAAATAGGTCACAGTGCTTTGATACAAATCTATGTGAAATAAAGATACGTTCTGCAGGTTTTTTTTTCTAACTTGTTATTCTTTTCAACTCAACAGAATGTTGGGAAATTATTGTTCAACATTCCAAAACTGAATAAACAGGGCCAGGTTTTGTGTGGGGTAAGAAACTGGCAGAATAGTAAATTTGAAAATAGGGCAGATCTAGCAACAAATGCAAACAAACAAAAGACAAATCCTGAGGGGGAAAAAATAAAAACACATTTTGGGGGCAGACTGTTGGGTTTTCACAGAATAGTTAATACTTTAAGCCATTTTTGATATGCCTCCTTCTTTCCTGGTAACATCTGAGGGTGGAATTTTCATTAAAATGCTGAATTAGTATTTAATGCTTTCTCATATTTATGTGAAAATGGGAATAATGTACACAGAAAGTCCTTTTGGAAAGGTACCAATGCTTCTTTCCCCCAATCAGAGCCCAATGACTTGTTGGGTCAAGTCACTGGGCTCTGATCACAACTCACAAGTCTACTTGTGACTCACAACCACATTTGACCCCACATTTTTTGTTTCTAAATGAAATATTTGTTAAGTGAGTTTGCTCCATTTTACAAGCTTTCTGTCAGGGCTGCTTCCCTCAGTAACCAAGAAAGAAACCACTCAACTCCATTTTGCAGAATTAAGAGTACTTTAACAGGTTATGAGTAGATAGTAACTAAGCAAAACAAGATCTGAGGCAAAAACGTGTGTAATCATAGATATCAATATGTGACCCAATCCCCTCCCCCTGGTAACCTTAGTCCATAGTCCAATCAGTACACCCCACAGGTGTCATGTGGGAGACATCTTCAAAAAGCATCATCAGGCTGGTATGCCAAACAGTTGGTCTGGGTGGCAAATCCTTCCTCTGCAGCATGCGCAGTAGATGGTGAGAACACCTCCCTTTATACAGTCACTCCTGTGCTGACACTTCCCCACCCATGTACAATGCCCCCTCCTCCCCGTTTCAATGGCAGCCG